ATAAATGGAATACTTTACCATTTAGTGTTAGGAAAATAACAGTGACAAATCATTTTTCACCTATCAGATTACCAAAGATTGAAAAAAGCAATGATACCTGGCACTAGCACTAATATAGTGCAGATTAAAATGTAGAATGGCAAGGGGTGCCTGGGTGGCTCAGTTGGTTGAGCGTCTGACTTTGGCTCAGGTCATGATCTCGCAGTTTGTGAGTTCAAGCCCTGTGTCAGGCTCTGTCAGCACAGAGCCTGGAGCCTGCTTCTGATTCTGTGTCTCCCTCTCTCTCTGCCCCTCCCCTGCTCATGCTCTATCTCTGTCTGTGTCAAAAATAAGTAAATATTAATTTTTTTTAATGTAGAATGTCAAAATCATTCTGTAGGAAAATTTAAGTCTTTATGAAAATTACTTTTTTAAGTATTTTTCATTTTTAGGAATTTATCCAAAGGAAACAATTAAAAATGGCACAAAAATGTGCACCTAGGTGGCTCAGTCAGTTTAGCATCTGACTCCTGATTTTGGCTCAAGTCATGATCTCATGGTCATAAGATCAAGCTCCACATTGGGCTCCATGTTGAGTGTGGAAACTGCTTTGGATTCTCTCTCTCTCTGCCCTTCCCCCCCACCCCCCAAAATAAACAATTTTTTAAATGCAAAGATATGTGAACAAAAATGTTCATGACTACTTTAAGCCATATGCCACAAAGGAACCTGCACTTTGTGTGTGTGTGTGTGTGTGTGTGTGTGCGCGCGTGTGTGTGTTTTTTCTCACCTTTGCATCTTCAGTGCCAATATAGTGTCTGGCATACCAGAGGGATTCAGTATTTATTTAATTAACCTAATTAATGATATACATTGTCAAAAAATCTTACTCCATCTAAATATTCAGCATTAAGACATTGGGCAAAATAAATTATGATACAGTTTTACTTTTGAATATTATACACCTTTAGAAAATAATGTTGGTCAATTTTCATTGACATGGGATGACTAAATTATCAACTTAAAAAATAATATGGTTTAATTTTATAAAAATACATTTTAAAACATTTCTATATACATAGAATATATTCTACACTATAATATTGAGAGTGATATGCATGACATATGAGATTCAACTCTTTTTTAATTAATTCACCTGTATTTTCAAAACTTTCTACAAAGACTATTATTAAAATCCTAGAGGAAGCTAGATATATTTTTATAAGACGTGAAGGGAAATTTTTCTAAGAATAACAAAAGCAGAAACCTTAAGGAAAAAGATTAAAGTTACATAACAATTGAAAGTCTTCTGTTTTATACCATAAACTATTATTTTAGTTTTGAGACTATATGGAAGAGTCTTTAAAAAATAGGTCAACCATATTTCAATAATAAATATTAAAAAGGGGGGACAGTCTCTGTCTTTTAGAGATACATATTGAAATAATTGCAGATTAAATGATATAATGTTCTTCAACATAATCAGGAGTTGGGAAGAGGTAAAAAGAGGAACTGAGTGTAGGGAGGTAAAACAAGATTAGGCATGTATTGATAATTGTGGAAGCTGGGGGATGCACAAATAGATTTATATATATGTTATCTCTACTTTTTGGGTAATGTTTTCAAGTTGACATCACATGGAAATTTTAACACAATAAAATTGATAGAAAAACCATGAACTCTGAAAATACTTACAAAATGAATAAAAAGAAATTAAATGACTTCTCAGTATATAATGAACTCATAGAAAAACTTAAAATATTAAATTGGCAAGTACATGAACAATTAACCAAAGGAAAAGAAGAAATGACAATGACCAGTAAACACAGGAAAATAATTGTGTGCTTATGCAATAAAATATTGCATTTTATTTAAAATGGGGTAAAATTTCTTGACTGATAGTGTTGTTTTAAAATGACAAAAATCTATTTCCGACTTGACTAATGTGGCAATTTGAAATACTGTTGATGAGTGTAAGTTGTCACAAACTTTCTGGTAATACTTAAAATCTTAACATTTTGCTTATCCTTAGCCCAGCAATTTTATTTCTAGAAATATAAACTAAGAAAATAATCATAGATGTGCAGAGAAAAATTATCCAGGGAAATATGTCAAACTGATATTTATAATAATAAAAGAGACATAAATAATCTAATGTATAAAAGTAGGGGCATTATATCACTATGGTGGACTTATCAGCAGACTTTTCTTCATCCTTTCCTTCATTCATTTATTCATTTCTTTTCAAAAATATTTAACCAAATGTCAGACACTGGTTAGGCACTGGGAGTACAATAATGAATAAAGACACATTTCATGCTTCACATGATAGAAAAAAGCTGGGGGTGGGGAGTCATGGCCACTTGTGGTGGTAATCAAGGAAGCCTCACTCAGGAGGAGATGAAAAAGGGGAGAAAGAAGAATAAGAAGAAATCAACCATGCAATGATTCAAGGAAAGATGATTCTGATCATTCAAATAATTCCATAAGGAATATATAAAACATAGGAAGATGTTCATGTTAAATTAATGGGAATAAGCAAGTTTCAAAATCACATGTAATATAGTGATAGGATCTATAAACATGTACATCAAACATATAATTGAAAGGTTAGATACTGCAGTTTCAATGGCCATTTTTAAGTGGAAAAAAATTGAGTGATTTTTCTTTTCATCACTGATTTACAAATTTTCCATAATAAGAAAATAACATTTCCTATAATATGTACTGCTTTTGTAATGAGAACACAGTAACTGAAAAGAGAGTAATTAAGAATCTTTGCACTTATGAAATTATGGTTTTAAACACAGATACTCCACAGTTGAAGGTGTGCCAAGTATTGAAGCTATGGGACGTATGTTATACACCTTTCCTTAAATACTGAATATACTAGAATATCTGGAGAAATGATACAGTGATTCAGATAACTCACTATGTAAATTGCCAGGGAGCTCACACTAAGATAGACAGACACATTACTTGGGTGATATCTATTAAAAATATTGGACAAGACTCATTTATTGAGCACACATTATATTGCCAAGGCACTTTGCTTACTAGAGATCAACAGAAAGTACAAGCAGGGCTTCTATGTTCATTAAATTTATATTCCAATATTTACCATCAAAGAATGATATAGTTATTAAATTTTTAGTCAATTTTATTAATATTCACTCAGCATATATTTATGGAGTGCCTACTATGTCAGATAACGTTCTAGGTAATGGGGATACAGCAGTGAACAAATACTCCATATTTACTACAAGTTAGACAAGTCCAAAATAAGGGGAAAAATAACTTAAACATAATTAATAGAACTAGTATCTACCTGAATTTTAAAACATGAACTGTTCATAAAGGTGCAATATGTAAGAAGATGATTTCCACATGTCTCTCTATATATTAAACCTTAGCTAAACATAAGTGAAAGTATTTCCATCTTACTGGTTTCCAAAATAATAGTGTTGACTAGCATAGGATAAGAGGATACTAATGTTCTTTTTCACAAAAAAGACACCGGAAACACATTCAAGTTGAAATGTTAAAAGAAAACAAAAATCAACTGCTGCATGTTTTTCTTATTGTGATTCCCTGGGTAAGCCTCATTCTCCTGAGGGCTGCCAGAGAATACAACTAATAAAGCTAAGTGACTTGCAGAATGTTGAAAATGCTAGATGGTGATTGACTAGAGGAGCCATGATGTATAATTTATCCAAGTGGCAAGCAGCTTGAGTAAGCTCTAATGTAATTTTGAGCTTAATTATTTGGAAAAAAAGGTAAATGGTACATGAATGAAATCCATAAACGATACAAACCTGGGAGTTATAAATGCCAATGAGAAGAGGAAATAGTGCAGAGGTGTAGGGAAGTACATGTATTAGGAGGCAACAGCCCAGAGAAGCTCCACGTGGAAATAGGCAGGAGACATGGAAGACTAATGTTGTCTACTAGGCCTGTCAACTGGAAAACTATTTGTAAAGGTTTGCAGACCACATACTCACTCTTACACACGTTACTACACTGTGTATACTTTAAGGGCCAAGGTTTGTAATCTTCTGATATGGTTCCTTTTTAGAGTGTAGAGATGATTGGATTTCAATAGTGCAACAGAAAACACATATTACAGTACAACCCGGGAACAGAGGTAAATGGGGAGTCAATTAAAACAGGATTGGAGAGGGCATCTGGGTGGTTCAGTCAGGCATCCAACTCTTGATTTTGGCTCTGGTCATGATCTCATGGTGGTGGGATTGAGCTCTGTGTGGGGCTCCATGCTCAGCATAGAGCTTTCTTGGGATTCTCTCTCTTTCTCTCTCTCTCTCTCTCTCTCTCTCTGCCCCTCCCCTGCTCTCTCAGTCTCTTTCTCTCTCTCAAAATAAATAAAATAAATAAAATAAACATTATTTAAAAAGGGGGGTTGGAGAGCAATACAGTGAGAATCATATTTTACATTTTAAAAATGCAAATATGGTGATTATTACGTGTTTATCTCTGATCATGGCGCAAACCGGCCATATCTCCATCACCCTCCTAAAGTCTCACATAGCAACAGTTCTCTCAAATACTCCATTGTCTTTTAGTTTAAGTCTCCCACAAAGAGGTTTTTGTTCTTAAATTACAAGTCATATTTTACAAGCATGTCAATTTAAGTGCTTTCTCTCCATCATATGTCACCCTGTGTAGGTCTGGATTTATTTCTGAGGCCACCGATTTCCCAGTAGGCAGGATCAGAACATCTCACAAGCTGATGGATACTTCTTCTATCATGGCTTACCACAGGGGTGGTTTGAGGAATAAGAGTAAAATTTTCTGTATTAAAAATTGTTTTCTAAAATCATGATATAAAAACCTTGATGTTTATTAATGTGCGTATTATATTTTACAGGGATTTTCAAAAAAATGAAACATAAAAAATGTTTTTTTCCTAGTGTTACAACCTCCTAAGACAGGCCTTTGGATCTTGATGGTCAAATCTCTCTCTCATCGGCACAATCCTTCCCATACAGAAACTTCAGGCTTACCTCTGTCATGCTTCTGGAACTAGTAAAGGTGAGAATTCCCATTACCTCATTGGCCATTATTTCCCTCTTTCCTCTCTTGGAGAAGTCAGGAAGTCACATTTTTGTCCCTCAAGGATGCGCAGAAGCTGGAAAAGAAAAAATTCACACTACTGTGATAAATACTTTCTTGAGGGATGTCTGGGTGGCTCAGTTGGTTAAGTGTCTGACTCTTGATTTTGGCTCAGGTCATGATCTCGTGGTTTGTGAGATCAAGACCCATGTTTGGCTCTGTGCTAACAGCATGGAGTCTGCTTGGGATTCTCTCTCTCCTTCTCTCTGCCCCTCCCCAACTCACGCTCTCTCTCTCTCCTTCTCTCTCTCTCAAAATAAATGAACTTAAAAAAAAATACTTTCTTGAAAACTTATTACCTGCTTCTTTTCCTTCCCACTAACTCATACTCATCCTCTCTCATTTGGCATTGGCCTCACCTACAAATACAGTTTTCAGACCTGTTCCTACTCAGAGAAACCTGCTGAAACTGATGTCTATCCAAAGACTTGGAAGTTTAACCAGGTTTGTGGTGATAAATTTTTAACAATCTGTTCTGGAGTGGGATGAGCCAGGGTGAGGGAGGCCTGACTTACAACATTTGCCATTTCTGTAGTGTCAGAACTCCCACTCTGGCTGGAATTGAAAAGAGGTGATACCATTTGGCCCATGCAAGCCAGTACAGGCAGGCTCCAGCACACCACTGGAACTCTCAGCTTATGAGAGCCAAACCAAAGACATTTCCAATATATATTTCTAGTATATAAATTTTGAATGCAAAAACACTGTAAATTGTTTTCTAGACCTAACACAGGTTAATGTTATTAGCTACTATTTATATCAAATCCATCACCTCTCAACGTGACTGCATTAAGCAGCACCCCTGTTTACCCATTAGCTGTATTACAATTGTCCCATTGCTAAGATTATTTCAAATTAAAGCAGACAAAGTGTTTGAAAAATATACATTCAGGAATAACCCTGAGTTGAAGGAAATAGATAAATTGTGGGAGGAAATTGCCTGATTAGCAAATAAGAGTTCCCAGGTTGTATTTCCTGATTTCTAATATTAGTAGGATAATTGTGCACAATAAATTTTTCTTTGAGACAAAATGAAGTAATTCAAAATCATTAAAATTTTGAAATTTATAACTTATCATTTATAGCTCAAATTCTTCCTCCTCCATGAGGACCTTCTACCACATCCTGCCACAAAAAGGCTTTACTTCACCACTCAGGTGATATATGCTTAGAGGTCATGGCAAGCCAGGTATCTTTTGGATCCTCAACAAAATCCAACATTCAGTAGTCTGTTGATTGATTGATTTTAACTAAATTTGAAGGGTTTTGACTGAAACAAGTAGTTCTCTTAATTCACAGATGAGGTTTATTTTTTTTTCTAAACTAAAAGCTAGGACATATATGATGACAATTCTTTCTGATCTGCAAATTTCTTTATATGGAAAGTTTAAAAAATGTATAAAGCACAAATTACATTTAGTCATTTGTTAACACAAAATAGTCTTTCCTGAAAAGAATGGAAGTTATACTATTAACATGGAAAATATAGGGTAGGTAGGATTCTAGTCATTTACTGCTGTGTAACAAATTGTCACAAAACTTAATGTAAAGCAACAACACTCCTGGGGTCCCTGGCTGGCTCAATCAGTAGAGCACGTGACTCTTGACCTCTGGGTCCTGAGTTCAAGCCTCATGTTGGGCTCAGACTTTACTTAAAGTCAACAAAAAGCAACAACACTCCTTTATTAACTCTCAGCATTCAGCTGGATGGTTCTGGTTTGGGATCTCTCTTCTCCAAGTACAAGCACATGATGGCCGCAGCTGAGACAGCTTGACCAAGGGATGCTGGCTGAGCAGCTCTTCATCTGTTCCTAGTCTCAGGTCCTCTCCATGTGGTCTCCCCAGCAGAGGGCACTCGGGGTAGCCATATTTCCCACGTGGTGGATCAGCAAGTCTTAAGTTGAGCATCTTGAAGTAAACCGGGAGAAGCTGCATGGACTTTCCTTACCTAATTTCAGAGACCACACAACCTTCAATCTGCCATATTTTCTTAGTTAAAGCAGTCTTAATCAAAGGGAGAGGGGAACAGACTCTCCCTCTATTGTTATTTTTTTTTTCTTAAAGAATAGTGGATGTGCAATAAACTGAAGTGAACTTTTTGATGTTTTGATAAATGTATAAACCCATAAAACAATCACCACCACCAAGGTAATGAACTTACCCATCACTCTTGCAAGCTTTCTCATACTCCTCGGCAATACCCCCTCCCTCATTTCCCCCCCAATCCCAGGCACTACTAATCTGTTTTCTATCACTGTTGATTCGTTTGCATCTTCTGGATTTTTATATAAATTAAGTCCTACAAGATGTGCTCTTTATATGGCATATTTCCCTCAGTATAAGTACTTTGACATTTATCCATGTTGTTATACATATCAATAGTTCACAACAATGTTATGCATAACAATAGTTATTCCCTCCTGTGAACATTCCACATTTATCCATTCATATGTTATAGATATTTGGGTTGTTTCCAATTTGGGGTTTAACAAACAAAGCTGCTATGAACATTTGTATACAAGTTTTGGTATAGATGTACATTTTCATTACTCTGGGATAAATGCCCAGGTGTGTGGTTGCTGGGTCATATGCTAAGAGCATGTTTAGCTTTTTAAAAACTACTACTGTACCATTCTAAATTCCCACCAGCAGTGTATGAATAATCTAGTTTCTCCATATCTAGCATTTGATGCTATCACTATTTTCATTATTTTAGTCATTCTAATCAACGTACTCATTGTAGTTTTAATTTGTATTTCCCTAATGGATATTAAACATCTTTTCATGTGCCTATTTGCCATCTCTGTATCTTCTTCAGCAGAATGTCTACGTATATCTTTTGCACATTTTCTAATTGATTTTTTTTTACTGTTGAGTTTTAAGAGTTCTTTAGATAGCATATACAAGTCAGTTGTCAGATTTAAATTAGCCTTAAAATAAATGAAATAAAATATTCATGAAATAGACATTTCTAGTGCTTTTCATTTCCATGTAGACTTATTTTCTTTCTTCCTTATGGAATTTCTTTACCATATCTTGTAGTGTGGCGTCTGCAGGTCATTTTGTATGTCTGAAACAACTTTATCTTTTAAAGCTATTTTTGCTGGGTATAGAATTTTAGGTTAACAGACTTCTCCATTCCTTTCTTACTTTGTTCCTTCACTTCTCTTTCTTTCTTCCTCTTTCTTTCTTCTCTTTCTTTCTCTTTCCCTTTTTTCTCTTTCTCTCCCTTTCTTTCTCCCTTCCTCTCTCTCTCTCCCTTCCTTCCTTCAAACTGCAAACATGCTGCTTCACTGTTTTCTCTGTTGGATTGCTTCCAAAGAGAAATCTACTGTCATCCTCTACATAATATACTTTTCCTCTATATAATATACTTTTCTTCACTGACTGTTCTAAGAATTTTTATTTACCATTGGTTTTGAGCAATTTGATTATGATGTGCCTTAGTGTGGTGAGGGACATGCCCATCTCTAACTCAAACATTGGCAAAGGAGAATAGAATTATAATGAAAAATTTAGACCGACCATGATTCATTTCACGGATTTGTGCTCACTCTCTCTATGCCCTTTTTTCCATGATAACTGGAAAAGAAACCAGAGTTTTATTAGTGAATAAAAGAAAGAAAAACTTGGAAAAGCAGAGTAGAGGCTTAAGCTTGATTATATCAAAGAACAGGATAGAAATCAATTAAGAGATCTAATATTTCTAAATGTACACATCATGTAATAAGAAATAATCACCCTGGGAATGACATATTTGTTTAACTGGCTTGAGATTAGAGAGTCAGGAGTATATGTACATAAAGTAAATATCTTAGGCATCCAGGAAGAATTAGGTCTGGGTAGGAAAGAAGTAAGCTCTGCGTGTGTAATGACAGTGGGTCTTAGTTTACATATTTTGTATAAAGAGATTTTTCTACTGTCAGAAAAGCACTTGATGACATTCTAAAGGAAGGTGAGCAACGCAACGGGCAGCATTACAATCTCAAATCAAAGTTTTAAACAGGCACCCTGACTTTCATTCAGTTCCTCAAATGGTGCTAGTACACAAGATGAGCACAGTGTTGGGTCCATCCTCTGTGTGTCCCTAGCAATTCATCAGAGAACTTCAGGGATGAAGAAGCAACCTATATGAGAGTCCCACAGGTCACTGCATTTAAGAATTCTGTCTTAGCCAGAAAAAAGCAAAATCCTTCATGAAGGTGGGAGTTTCACAGCCAGACTCAACACCATAATCTAACAAAACTGATGGTTTTTATCAAAGTCTTAGTTATACTTCTTCATAATAGTAAGATAATGAGAAAATAAAGACTTAAGAGTACGTCAGAAAACATCATTCATGTACTACACTCATTTCATTTCTGAAAGAATTATCTAAAAGGGGAAAAAAGTGCACCCATAAAGATTGGATAGGCCCAAATTTGGCTACGAATGACACTTTCACTAAAGGACAGTGCTCCTGTAAAAAAGAACTTAGAACAGAGTCATAATTCTTCTATGCATGTCCTTCTGATATTTGACTAAGGGTTGTGACTTGATGGCAAGTGAGAAATTTTAGGTTCTTACTTAAGTTATTCTGAAACTAGCATATCAGGAATCCACCAATTCCATGTACTTTCAGTGATAAACAACATTTGTGAACCTCTTCGGTGGCTCAGTGAGTAGATACTTCTCTGCTCACAGAAGATGTTACACATCTCTCTGTTAACTCTGAAATCCAAATACAAAATCTAGACTTCAGGAATATTACCATATGGATTTGTAACACTCCCTGAGCCACTTTGGTTCTATAACCAAAAGACTAGAATACACTTTCCTGTATGAGATTTTTTGTATGAAAAATGCAACATAGATATATGATGCCACTTTCACATTACTTTTTTTTATAAGCACTAGAGTGAAAACGATGAACAGAATCCCTCCTATCAATCTGACATAGTCTTCATTTAACCATTTGAAGACACCAAAGCAAGAGAAAGGTCATAATCAAAAACATGGCATAGTATTTTTATCTGACCAGCGAACTGTGTTGCTCTGGTTCACACTGAGAACCGTGACCCAGCTGAAGAAGAGTGTCACACTTAAAATCTGGTTTGCAATGTGTCTTTCATTTCAGCAAATGACCTCCTTTCTGCTACGTATCAAAGAAGCTGTAAAGGGTCAGCTGACCTCTTAAAAGTGGGCGAGACAAAAGTCAGTGCTGCCACATGGGCAGCAGGGTTTCCAAGTCAGATCCTTTCCCCCAAACTGCAATGCAGTAAATCAGTCTACAGCACCTGGGTAAGAGACAACCTGGCCTTTCGGTCTGTGTGTCATTTGGAACAGTTTTAATAACAAAAAGGTAGGGGTTTTGCAAACTGCTCAAATCAAATGGAGAGTGAAAGAGAGCACTGCTAATAGTTATATAAAAACAACAGACATAACTGAGGCCTGTCCTGAACAAACAGGGGCATATAGTCACCCTGTTCCCTATAAAATGAGGGCAGAATTTTAAGAACCGTAAGTAAAATGCAAAGTATAAGTACAAAGACTCTGTACACGGTGGTCATTGCATTGTCACAGACACACAGATGAGTATGCATGTGGGAATCCCCTTTTACGACAGCACTGGTTGATGTCATTTTTGTCGTTTTCACAGGAGGCAGAAAGTGTAGATGGGAGAGAACGCTTCTACAGATAGCAAAGGGGTTTCTGCAAATAATTATAATGCGAGATTACTCTGGGGTAAAATGATACTTGAGGACAGAGCAGGTTAGGAGGTTTTCATTTGCTGCCTTCCCCTCTGGTCACTTTTCCGTTTTCTGATGGTTCCCAACACAGGGGAAAAAAAGGATCTGTCCAGAGCGAGGGAGTCTGTCCTTGTTCCAACTGCGAGTCTCTCGTGGGAATGAGAGGTCCTGAGACTCCCCCAACCAAACAGGGCATCCCTGGGGGGCTCCCACCCAGAGTTATTTCAGTGAGCTCATACTTTTTATAACTAAAACCTTTTCCAAGGATGAAGTAATCCAGGAGTTAATTCTTGTCTTAAACCCTTTAAATGTAAAACACAAATGAATACTAATTGAGAAATGTATTTAGCAAATATTTGGGGAAGAAAAAACAAACTGTTTTTTATTGTTGTTATTGGTGTTGTTGTTGTTGTTGTTGTTGTTGTTGAAATGTTTCCCACTCCTCAAAAAAAAAAAGAGGGGCGCGGGTATGGGGGCAGAACAGAAAAAAGGAGAAAAGTGGCTTCGGCTCAGTGAAACACTAAAAAATGCACATGAATCAATTATGAAAAAGAGAAGGTCCCTTTGAATGAGGAAAAGCTGATTGGAATTAAGATAGGCTTTGTTCCTATCTGCAAGGTACAAGGAGGGGACTTTTCAGCGGAACAGAAAAGGGGGATTTGGGACTGTTTGGCTGCTTAATGCCATAGTGCTTCAGAGCCCATGTGAAAATTTGCTGCTGGCTATTAATCATCATTGTGCCCCTGCAAAGAAGCTGTTACAATGATGACTATATGTCATTATATTCCCACTGTAAGTAACGAATCAGAGAGCTGGGAAAGTTGGATAAGAGCGGCTGGCAAACTTTTAAGCGGTCGAATCTATTTAAATAAATTTACATCACATTTGCTACTTTCTCTGGTATGGGAATCATACTTTAAAATGAAACAATATGCGGTGTTCATGGGGCCTGGTCTTTTATTCCCCTGTCTCTGAGCCTACTTTCCAGGTCAGCCTTTGCCAGCGCTGACAGCACGCTTTTCTCATAGCCTCTCCTTCTCATAGCCTTTGGTTGCTTTCAAGTTCAATTTAGCACAATAAAGTTGTTATGCATGACAGTTTGGAGAGCAGAATAGGTGGTGTCTGAGCCCGCTGTGTCGCTACAAAGTGGGTCCATTCTCTGTGGGCCGGCTCAGTTACTGGAGCCTTACTGGTGGGATACAGCCATGGACTTCCAGACGTTCCCATCCTGACGAAAACAATTAGCTTCAAACTGCACGAAGCCGTGGGGTCAGCCTGTCTTTGACTGAGACTGCGCCATTTAATATGCTGCAGTGGATTTCAAATTTATGTTGATTTATCCTGTTGTGCTCCTCTTTTATGTGCTTTATTTACAGATGTGTAAAGAACAGGGAAAGTTGGAGTCCCACATGCCTCAAGAGTTTTATTAGAAATCGAAACCATTGTTTTATGTTTATTTTATAAAGAAATAGAGTTGAAACGTGTCAGGCTTAATTCCATTAGGCTGAACTGCCCAGAACAGAGCCCTGGGGTTTGGAAGACAGGATCTGAAAGGAAGTGTCTCCTTGGCTAAGCATCATCAACAAGCCAAACAACAAACAACGCTCAACCACCACCATTGTCAGGATAGTTTTCTATTGTGGGAGATTACCCCTCCAAAATCCCTCTCTGACCTAAAAGTGACACATCTCTTCATGGAAGCAAAATGTAATTTTTCAACCATTACAGGCCACCATGTGTATTTGCGTATGTGCATATGGATGTATCAGACCAATTAGTGTTTAGTATTCATTGACGTCCACCCAAGTGCTTACCGTCCTTAGAAATATGATACAACGTTCTGCTGTCAGAAGACAAATATTACTTGATTTTGACACTGTAGACTTGTCCTCATGCAGAGAATATAACCTCTCCTCCTATTCCTCTGAAGAGAATCCTGTAAAAGCAAATTTAGGTGTATTCTGAATTTTACCAGCAGACTGGTCTAGGCCAGATGTCTTCAGTCTCTGAGCTCTCCTAGTAAAATAAATCACAGTTGTCTTGATTACTGATCTCCCTAATTATAGGGTACAACCACCAAATAAGCCTCCTTCTAGATTAGAAATTAACTGAAAGCATATCTTAAAAGCATATTTCACTTTCTTAAAAGAGTTTATTATTTTTCTGTAAGCTATTTGTAAGACTTACATTTTTTTCACCAAAATGGGTGAAATACTGACAGCAACCATGCCACATAATATTTGCTTTAACTATGTACTAGTAGAGAAGAGTAAAAATAAAAATTACACAGGGGGAGAGTTTCCCAAAAATAATTTTGGTTTTTAATAGATAATTTAATATAATTTCAAAATGTTCTTGACCAAGGTACATCATGAAAAGTATAAATACACATCTAGTTTTAGCGAAGTTTGAAAGTGAAAGTCAATTGTCCGGCTCACCACTCGCCTTCTGCTATTATTTGGTGTCATTTTTAGTAAGGTCCAATTTAGGATGGTTTTTGGAAATAGACCTGGACAGACAAAAAAAAGGCATTGTGAGGGAAAGTAAAAGTGTCTATGACAAAAGCACTATATCCTTTATAATTTTCAAGTGGAATAATTTCTTTGTCATTTAAATGAGTGAATACTCAAAAAATGGAAAAAGATATTTTACAGATAACTTTACATTTAAATAGTCTTATTTTTCTAGAAGAAATATGTTGTAAGCATATTAAAAATTCCTCCATACAAGAGTGCTGAAAATAGAGAATGGTTAGATGTTAGGTAGGATATGCCTGGAAGTTTACACACACACACACACACACACACACACACACACACACACACACACACGAACAAAATATGCAGAAGGGTACTGTCGTACAGACTATAAACTTAACCTACATGTCTGCACCTAAAATCTGAAAATATAGGGTAACTTACTATAAAGTTTATTTCCTCATCTCAAAAGAAATTTCCTCGAAAAAAAGTGTTAAATTAACAAAAATAAATGAAAGTTTTGGAAGGGAGCTTGAATGATTATAAGATAATTTTATATAATATTTACAGAGACCCAGAATTTTGGACTGACAGATTTATCTTCATATTCTTTACCTGAGGAAAAAAAATCCAGTAGAAATGTTGTAAATAAGCTGACCATTGTCATTTATTAGTGAAGTTGCTTCTATTAAGCTGATATGGAAGGCATCTAATAGAGAAGATGATCGATCTTCAATGTTCTCTAGGAGCACAGGAAAGACACGAAAAGAAGGTCAAAATGAAAAGCTCATTGTAGGGAATCAATCTGGAAAAAATAAAGTGAGGCATTATAAAGGAGAAGGAGAATGGCAATATTCACCATAAATGGCATCAGTAATATCTGCCAGATGTTACCAAATTCTTTGGCTGAAGTAAGTATTTATGCAGTTTAAGCTTCAGGAGAATATAGTCTTGAGTTTAAATCGCAGGGTTATTACTTGCTTTGTAGCCTCAGGTAAGTTTTATAGAATCTTGGAACTTCTCTCTTCATATTCATAACATAAAATAATAATAATCCCCACATATAAAGGGTTGTTGTACAGACTAAACAACATAGGTTAAGTGCCCAGTATAACATCTGTAATGTAGTAGATATCCTATAAATATTGCTTCCCTTTATCGCTTCAATTTTTTTATATAGCTCTTGTAATTCTCATCCTCCCATTGCCCTACTATCAATAATAAGTCAAAATTCCTGATGTGAAATCTTACAGAAATAGAGACAGTCTTTGTAACCAATATTAACATAATGGATTCATGATGGTTTGGACCTGAGACATATCACTCATTTTTACCTAGTGTGTATTTAGCCTTTGCTTATCCTAGTTTGATCACTGAATAATTAATAAAGACCTGAAGAAAGTTGCTCAATACCATGGCAATGGTACTTTCCCTTATATGGACATGGGTTTGAAGAGACAACTTTCTGATAACTACAAGATAATCTCCACAAGAAGTCTCCCAGGACCTTAGACAGAAATCTGAGATGCCAAAAGGAAAAAGACCCATAGTATTCTAGGAAAGAATTCTGCTTGTGATTACTCCTGTTGCCCCAAAATAATATGCTTTGTCCAAATAATGCTTTGGTCATCATGAAAAAAATGAGTGAATTCATTGACCTAACATTCATTTACTTATAAAACAAATTCTCAGAGGCAGAGAGTCATGCTTCCCAAGTAACAAACTTCATTCTGGTGAAAAATCATGGAATTTGGATGAGTTTGACAGTGAGGGGTGGGACACGGGGAGAAGGAGGATCTTTTCTCGTTGTTTGAACTTTGCTTCACCAACATAACATTTGAAAGTATTTGGAAAAACTTAAGGCAAAACTTTTGGAAGAAGATGTTCCACTTCTACTTGTTATACATTGTAGGTTTTCCAGGTACTAGCAATGATCTTAACCAAGGCGTTGGCCACAATTGTTTTTCCTAGTATACTGCCGCCTCGTTGAATCCTTACTTTAATACCAGCCTTATTTGAGACACTGCAACGTGTTTTGTAGAATTAAATAGGCATATGGAATTAATATTAATTGAATCGCAAAAATGGACTCAATTTTATGTTGGAGATGCCATATATGATGGAAGCATGATAAACATTTTTTACTAAATGTAGCACATAGACATATTGATCTTTTTTTTCCAAAGTCGATTATTTTTAATGTCAGTTGATCACGCTCCTTAATGAAATGGTTTCTGCATATTTAAAATATGCAAACGTGAACTAGCATGCTAAGTTGACTTTTAAACACATCTTTCTTTACAAACAGTGGTAGAACACCAAGAAAAGATTAGCTACATTATATTTCTGCCTAGATCCTTGTCTTTTAACTATTAAATTGAATAGATTTTCTTGTATCTCCTTATCACTGAGGTGATTTTTTTTAAGACCAGTGAATACTGAATTAAACATATATGTGCTAAAAAGGCTGAACAGACAACCTTTAAACAATTTTTTTTGTCTTTATGGGCAAGCTGTTAATAAAGAGACATATGTGCTGTTTTATATATCCACATGCTTTACTACCATTTTTTAGATAAGCACCATAACTTAAGTTGTCTTCCACACAAAGTTCTGGCAAGCTTCAATAGATTCATTAGTGGGTTTTTCTTTACAACCAACGAAGCTCAAAGAGCTCCTAACAATGGAGCTAATCACTGCCTCTTCCCTGACCCAAGCTTAGGTTTTCCCTCCTTTCACTCCAGACTCTTATTTCATTTCTGAGCAATTGGATTTCCGTGGCACTCCCAGAACAAATAAATATCTCCCTTTCCCCCTGCTTACATCTTTTGTGTATATTTTTTCTATACGACTGCCCGTATTTAAACTAGTGTGGTAATGGCAGGGTTGTTCAGGTAATCTTTCATTGGACATAAATGGTGTAGCATTAAAATGCAGATAATGTTACTTCAATTAGAGAATGCTGTGCAAAACTTGAAAAAGACGTAGCTAAATGTTTGGACTAAACAAGTAAGTCTATGTTGTTAAGAGTGGGGCTGGGCAAGTTGCATTTTCAATAGATCCCTTAATGAATAAATGTTAGACTGTATCAACAGTCCTGAACAGGCTTGTGGTTTGTGTGTGCATGAAGTGTAATGGTATCAATTGACTGGCTCTTTGTGGTTGCTATAAAGTACTCTTGAATGTGTCAATGGAGAGAAGGCCTGCAGACAATGAAGCCATGACAGCTGAATGTCAGCAGCGACCTTGAACCTAAACTGGTTTCACCATTCCAGTGACTCTAGCTACAGTGAAGACATGCACTGGAGCCGGACCTTCGGCATTGCCTGTCATTTTCTGTGTTCAGATTCCCAGCACTTAAGTGACAATTTCACCACATTGCTAGACCTTGCTAATATGCATCAGTGAACGTTCACTTATTAGTGATGGGGCTAACGATATGTTCAGCATTTTAATCAGACCTGCCTTGGCATTTAAAAATACAAAAAACAAAGCAAAACAAAGCATCGTTCTAGACTAAATGTTTCATATAAGCAAACTCATCCAGAGAAGATACTCAAAACATGTCTTTTCTGCAGCAACAGATCCTTTGATATCGATCTTGCATTACACAGCATTACCGCACATACATTACTACACTCTTTATTGCTGCAAATAGCACATGATTAGTTAATTAAAATATGGCATCAAGGAATAATTAATATTTGTAATGCAGTGTTTCTTTAATGAAAAACAAGAGAATTCTTCTAAAGGTCACATTTACAGATTAAATGTGTCTTTAACATAAATGGAATGTTATTAAGCTAGGCTCAATATTCAGGAGAGAACTACAAAGCCTTTTGTGGCAAAACACTATTAATGAATTCAAGAAACTGAATCCCTTTGCTAATGCTGGAGTTGAGCAAGGTTAGAAGCCCAACCACAACTGAATGTTCCTAATATGTTCACTGTCCTCTGTAGTGAAGAACTGAGGGCAGGGAAGGCAGGCAACTGGGCTGGGAAAAGGAAAGGCTGGAGGAAAAAGAGGAAGAAAAGGAAGAGAGATAAGGGTGGAGAGGGAGAGAGAGATAGAAAAGAGAGAAGATTCTGATTGGTGAGAAGCATATAACGATGTGTATGCAGCAGAAAACAGCAATATCGAAAACTGGCATGAGTGTATTGTGGGAAGGAGAGCCAATACAACTGCTGGTGTTATTACTATTATAGCACTATACACTGATTACAATTTATTCTATATAAAATGGGACATTTGCTAAAAAATAAACAATGTAAAGAAAAGTATTAACTGTATAATTATGAACATAAGTAAATGCAAACTTGTTATTAGAATGTCCTTGTGGATTGGTATGAGTGAGGTATGACACATGCACTTCATTTTACTAGGACATCTCGGAGTCCTAATCATCAGTAAAAATTGCCGTGTGATACATTCTTTTTCAAAGTAAAGAAAAGTGAGGCACAACTATCCTCTTGTTTCTCTGTGGCTATCCTAAGTTCTTATATACTGTAAATACTGAACTACCTGATTAAATTTGTCCTTACAAGTCCTTTGCAATATACGGGGGGGGGGGGGGGACCTCTGTAGGCTACATTTGTCTTTTACTTGAAAAAGCCGAATGTTGACAAAAATTTTTCAGTAAGTCCTAACAAGAGAAGGTCACACATGTTTCAAAATACAATTTTTAAAAATCTTTAAAATAAACATGCTGCTATGAAAAATGCTTATTATCCAAAAAACATGGGCATAAAGTTTATTATTTATGTATTTATTTATTTATGTATTTATTTATTATTTATTTAGTAGGATGATTATTTTACATCTATTTTATCAGGTCATTATTGTATTGTATTGCAGAAACAAAGGTAAATACATCATCTTGATTTCACACTTCAGTTAAAATATGTATCGTGTGAAAAATGATATTATAAAGATTATTAAGCTACAAAAAATAACCTATAAACACTTTTACAACAGATATTCAAATAATAATCTAAAATCATCATCAATTGTCCCAGGATAAAAAAATATGCAAAGTTTAGCATAAAGATAGTTCTTTTTGGCCTTAAAGTCAAAGTGCAATGAAGAAAATAAATAATGAAATAGAAACATTTTCTTGCATTAACTTTTACATGTGTATTTCCTAGAAAGAAAGATAATTCCCTTTCTAATCTTTATAGATGTGTTTGCAAAGTTGAACATTCAACCTACACTTTCGTACATTAGAATTAGCACTTGTAAGTGGGCTGATGCTATTAGCTGGGAGCTTTACAATATTATCTGCATCATATATTTATTCTTAAAGTGATTCTGCATCTTTATAATTTTCCCAAATAGAAGTTTTATACCAGAAAGAAGACATTAGCATCACCCAGTCTTATTTTGATTTATTGAGATTTATATGAATTATAATCACTAGGAATATATCATTGAGAAAGAGGTCTGAGAGGCTGCGTGAGGGGCAAGTGCTTATTCATTTCCCCTCTGACATCTAAGAGGTGGAATCAGAAATGGCCCAGGTTTCTTGATTCTACCACAATGCTGTCCCTACCACACAAGTGTCTATTCCCATTTTGTTGGAGGGTAACCTGTTTGTTCCTCTCCAGAAACAAGAGACCATGGGTTCTGTTCAGTCTGCTTCCTCATGTGTACTTTTATTAGCCAATAGACTAGTTAAGAAAATTCTTTCTATATACTGTATATTTTGTAGCTGTTTACCCTTCTAATATTGATATAACTG